CCCACCCAGCAGGTGGTGGATTCAAACCACGTGCCTCTGGGCTGCTAGCGCCACTCTCTGCCCAAGAGGTGTTCCACAGCATAGAACAATAATTACATTTTAGTACCAGCAGCCAGGAAATTAAAAGACGAGTCTACTGTTAGAGACCTCTCCAGAGTACTGAAGAGCAAAGTTATCAGTCTGGAGACTAAGGTGCACCTGTTCCAGGCCATGGTCTTTGCAATCACTTGTTAAAAATCAGAGACCTGGACAATGACTAGAGAGGATAGAAGAAGAATTGATGCGTTTGAGCTGTGGTGCTGAAGAAGGATATTGAGGGTACCGTGGACTATCAGGAGAACAAACAGGTTCGTCCTAGAGAGGGTTAAACCAGGCTGCTCCTTGGAGGCAAGGATTTTGAAGCTTCATTTGACATACTCTGGACATGTTGCAAGGAGAGACAAGTCCTTGAAGAGGGATATCATGCTTAGGAGCATGGAGGGACAGCACAGGAGAGGAAGACCCTCGATGAGACAGACTGATTGAGTGACTGAGGTAACGGGGGTGGGTGGTCAGAGACAATGGGATTGGCACAGGAGGGAGCAGGGTTTAGGGCTGTTGTACGTAGGGCAACTTGACGGCACATAACAGCAACTCATTTTTTTTAAAAAACTATACAAATTGATATGCCGACTTTCCTCAACTTCTTCCCCATTTTGGGTCTGTCACGCTGACTGGAATATTCTCTTGGACTCTGGCACAGCTGAGAGATTCTCAAGTGCAGCATTCAATCTTCCCACCCCTTAATCCCTTGACTTGGCCAGTGGTGATCACGGACTCGGGCTTCCTTAACAAGTGAATGGAGTATCTGCCAGCGCACTCCCATGACCAGATGCCGGCGCAGGACGAGCACCTGTCCTTTCTGCTCCTTTATGCATGTAACCAATCAAGCAATGCCACTGGAATGTGCTTCCCCGAGGAGGCTGCTGTCTCGGGGACGGGGTGACACAGGGGAAATCAGGACTGCAGGCTCTGAGGGAAAACCAGCCTCTTCCATCACCCACTTGTCTGGCAACATTTTCCTTTCCATCAGATACTGGATTTCTCCAGAACCTGTCAGAGGAGAGATGAGAAGATCCCGTTCCTTCCTGGCCCTGAATGAGGGACCGCACCATGGCTCACAGGCCCACCCTGACTGCACCTTGTTCCTGGTCCTGGATGAGGGGCGGCACCATGGTTTACAGGCCCACCCTGACCTCGTTCCTGGTCCTGGATGATTTCTGGTCCTGGATGAGGGGCGGCACCATGGTTTACAGGCCCACCCTGACTGCACCTTGTTCCTGGTCCTGGATGAGGGACAGCACCATGGTTTACAGGCCCACCCTGACCTCGGTCCTGGTCCTGGATGATTTCTGGTCCTGGATGAGGGACAGCACCATGACTCACAGGCCCATCCTGACTGCACCTTGTTCCTGGTCCTGGATGATTCCTGGTCCTGGATGAGGGGCGGCACCGTGATGTACAGGCCCACCCCGACTGAGTCCCATTAGTCCCTGGCCAACACTGGCCACTGCTGGGCATTACCAGGAACACGAGAAGAGGATGTGGAGGTGCTGGCTCACTGGTGCCCCAAGCCCCCCATGCTCTCCCCACTGGTGACTGTTGACCTCACACACAGGGGGCCTGTGCTTGGTCAGCGATGTCCTCGAGCGGGGCCGAGGGGTGGGAAGCAGGCTGCGTGCTCTGTTGATGGTGCTCTCGTGATTTTTAAAATGTCTTACTCTCAAGGTCTGAGACTGCCTCCAGTTGACTCCTGGCCGGTGTCTCATATTATGGACATGGAGACCTCGAGTAATAAAGCAGTTCCGCGTTGATCACAACACTTCCCTCGAGGACACGGACTGACAGAGTGACAGTGGCCATGACCTTGAGCATATCAGAGACAGCGAGGACAGGAAAGGGTCCTAGGAGTCGAGAATACTGTCAAGAATAACGCCAGCGCTGAGCAGCAGTCCATGAGGCTGGGAAGGAGTCCAGCTTCTACACTAGTTCTCAGGACAGCAGGTCAGGACACCGGCGGTCAAGCAGTGCCCCCAAGTGGATGAATGACACACTGCAGGGCTCTGATGAGACGCATCAAAGTACTACCCATTTTGTCAAGTTCTTTGTTAAGCCTGGAAAAGCTGTGTGGATTCATTCTTGCTGTTAGGTGCCGGCAGGCTGATTACGACCTCGCACCCTAAGAACAACAGATGGAGCCTTAGCCTGTCCTGCGCCATCCTCACCTGTCCAGGGTCTTCCCCTCTCTCTCTGCCCCTCCACCTTCCCCAACATGCCCACAGGGAGTGAGGCCAGCTTTCCCCTCTGCCTCTCAGGAGCACCCTGGCTACCTTTCCTTCCAGACAGCCTTGTTTGTTCTTCTGACCGTCCATGGGACACCTTTTCCTCTCCAGCATAGGAGATTATATGATCATCTGATCCAAAATGCCCCATGCCAGTCCATCTCATCTCACCAATACCTAATTTATCAATATTTATGCACTCCGTTTCTTCCTTAACAATATCCTGTTTTCCTACATTCATGGTTCTCACATACCATGATCCAGTCACTAGTGTCTGCTTGAAACTGTTCCTCCTCCTTTGTGTTTCCGTACTTGAGGGCTCCACGTAAACACATACACAGAAAACACCACATCTACAGATGCAGACACACACATGCAAACAGGTACACACCTGTGTACACACACACACACCCATCATCTCATGGAAAGTCAGAAGCTGCCACACTCGGTCTTGCTAAGTCTTCTTTTTTTATGTCTTCCTTTAGATCAACTTTTCAGCCTTCCTGTGGATTGTGCCAGTTCTTCCATGTGGTTTTTGTAAGTCAGACTGAAGTCTTACACTCAACCTTTCCCTGAAGGTTCCCCAAAACTGGCAAAAATGGACCGTTCTGCCCTGAGTGGCTGGAGAGGTCATTAGGCTGAAGAGAAGGGGGACCGTTCAGGGAGGACTTATGGGGCACAGTCTAAGACACCAGAGAGGAGGCAGCCTCTCACCTCTTCCCCAAAGAATGGGGTAAGAACTGTGCCTTCTAGACAAACACAACTTAAACCAACCGTGGACCCAGACACCAGGCAAAACTTGTTTATTAAAAAAGGAGCACCAGTCAAACTCTGCTGGCTTCTTGTTGATTGCCTTCGAGTGGAGCACGACTCATCGTGACCTTGTGAACAAAAGGCCTGAAGCCCCTCTACAACTACTGGCACTTCTCAAAGTTCGTAGTTTTGAGGCATGTCATTGAGGAAGTGGATGCCACTCACTGTCAGCCCAAAGCCTTGTGGTTCAAACCCACTGGCTGCCACGTGGGAAAACGACGGGCAGCCTCCACCCATGTGACTGGCAGCGTCGGTAAACCTGCTGGAGGGCCAGCTAAGAGTCGGCTCCAACTCGGCAGTTCACAACAACAACAACGAGGCATGAAGAAGCAGACACCCTGTCCACATACCTCCAACTCACACCTGTGATTAGCTAAACACAGGAACCCCCAGTAGCCTAAAATCCTCCAGTTGTGGGACAGAAACTTGGTCTTCTGGGGTTAGGGCTTTGGCGAGAGTCATTCTTCCTTCGATTTCTTACTGAAATGTTTTGTTTGGGGGGAGCAGTCTTCACAACCCCATACACCTGCAGTCACAGCTCGTCCACACACAGCCCACAGGCGGCAGCTCTCCTGTCCCCACCCACACGGCCTCATCACCACTCACGCAGGCTCGCTGCTCCCTCAAGTGCTGACCCGTGCTCTCAATGAGCGATCATCAGAGGAAGCGCACAGACAGAATTCCTTTTAAGAAGGCTACTTCCTATGTGTCCAGTGTCCAAGCTTCATCAGTTTCAACAAAACTTTCACTGCAGCAAATTTTAAAAACTTGAAGCAAAAATGTAAAGTGTATTAAGAATTACCAGCCAATGGCGTTAAGAGTCTTTGTTTACCGTCGAAGTCCATAAAGTCCTTTATAAATCAGAAGCAAGGCTGTCACAGGGAGTAGTCAACAAAAGCAAACTTCAGGCAGGACTCCCAGCAGGGCTTAAATATCTAAGTTGGGGGCTGACTAGAGACTTTGAAAATTCCTCCACAGTTGCACAAAAAGGCCACAAAGAAAATGAATACCACATTTTCCTCTGGGTACTCTCTATTCACCCCAGATGGCAATTAGCATGTATTTGATGATGTCACTCTGGAGACTAAGGTGTGTCTGAGCCATGGTCTTTGCAATCACTTGCTATACATCAGAAAGCTGGACAATGACTAGGGAGGATAGAAGGAGAATTGATGCCTTTGAGCTCCAGTGCTGGAGAAGAGTATTGAGAGTACCCTGGACTGCCAAGAAAACGAACAGGTTCATCCTGGAGAAGGTGAAGCCAGGCTGTTCCTTGGAGGCAAGGATTCTGAGGCTTCGTCTGACATATGTTGAGCATGTTGTAAGTAGGGAGAGGTCCTTGGAGAGGGACATCATGCTTGGGAGGGGGTAGGGACAGTCAGGAGGGGAAGACCCTCTATGAGGTGGATTGGTTCAGTGACTGGGGTAATCTGGGTAGGTGTGTCAGAGAAGGTGAGATTGGCACAGGACAGAGCAGGGTTTAGGGCTGTTGTACACAGGGTTGCTATGAGTCACAGGTGACTCGACGGCACATAACAACAACAGTAAGAATGAAGTCATTACAAACAATTCTCTCTCCCCTTCAAGGAGATTCAGTCGGTGGCGTGGAAGCAGTGATGGAGTTGGGATGGCAGCATGCATAACAATCTCATTTTCACATAATGTTGGATATTCCTCTCTGGGTCATTCAGATATTTCACTCACTGAAATGCCTTTAGAACCCCATCTGAAGGGAGCATTCAAGAGGCTTTTCTATCTTTTACTAAAGTCTTGCTTAATGCAAATAGCAAGGTGGGCGCTGTGTGGAGCCACATGTGAGAGGCACCCTCGCGAGGCAGCCGCCCTGAAGCACGCATCAATACTCACAGCTCCTCTCCTCCGTCAGCCTTCTTGTCGGAAACCAGGTAGACGGTCCCGAAGCTGCCACTGCCGAGCTTCTCCCGGAGCACATACCTCCTTGCAATCAGGGCGCCAGGGAGAGTGGGGACAGCTGCGGAGCCTCGCCCACACTTCACGGCCTCCTGGAACTTGAGCATGGCTTCAGACGAGAGAGAAGTGGTGGATTCAGTCACACTCAACATGCACATTTCCCACAAGGGGTCAGATTCACCCAAAGTGCATTCTGAGTTCAAGGCCGCAAGATGAAACACGCAGGCACCATGTCTATTACTAACACAGGGAGTCAGCTGTCCACCATGACACCTGCACTTGGCCTTGAGGACTAGGTGACCGCACGCTGCAAAGCTTAACCAGCCAAGAGAAGAACAGTGAAAAGCAGAGCGACCCTGTACAGGACAACACAGGAAGTCTTCCTTTCCCAGGAAGAAGGCATCCTCTTATGTGCCAAATGCAGCAATACTGAATTACAGCCAACTTTCCCCAAAAGTCTGGGATGCATCTGTTTTACAATCAGTAAAAAGTTTCATATTTATGCTGCTAATTTAAAAAATAAATTCAAAGAGTACTGTCATGTCTTTAAGTCTATACATTTATATCCATTATAGAAATATATACATCTAGGACAGTCAGGAGGGAAGGCCCTCTACGAGGTGGATGATTCAGTGACTGCGATAATCGGGATGGGTGTGTCGGAGACAGTGAGATTGGCCACAGGATAGAGCAGGGTTTAGGGCTGCTGTACACAGGGTCGCTCTGAGTCGCAGGGGACTCGACAGCACAGAACAACAACATTCATCTACACATTAACTCTATACATTTGCATCAAACCTCTCTTTCACGTGGTCATCCTTCTCCCGGCCCATCTTGATTCACAAAGAGTGAGTGAGGTTTAAATTGGAAACAATTCTCACATTTATAAGACTTTAAACCATGCAGTTGGCATTTATTAGAACCTGCTTTTTAACCCTGGGTTCCACTTTTGTTACAATAGCTGTGAGAAGGGAGATGAATTGAGAGTTTCCACCACCCTATAAGTAAATTCTTTGGGCATGTTTCTTGGAGAAGGACGTCGTGCTTGGTAAGGTAGACGGGCAGTGAAAGAGGAAGCCCTTCGGTAAGATGGATTGACAGTGGCTGCAGCAATGGGCTCCAGTGTGTCCGAGACAATGAGGATGACAAGATGGACAGGGTTGAGGTCTGCTGCTTTTAGGGTCATTATGCACTTGAGGGCACCTCTCAACAACAGTAACAAGCATACTCTCCTCTTCTTTCTGAAGTTTCTATCATGCAGACCACGTACAGCGTGATCTCCCTGGACTGGAAACATTAAATGTCATACTCAGTTCGACCCCTAAGTTATACTAATGTTAAGTGGACATAAACGGGTGTTACGGAGTCATGAGTTCATTGCTCAGGATGCCTTTCCTGGCCAGTAGGCTTGGCTTTGAACATGTGACTGGGTGGGATCCAGAGATAAGGTGTGTACCGAAGACTTGTGATGGGACTGGCCAGTTTTCCCATCCCACCAAATGTGAACCAAGTACATTTACAAGAAGGTGGGGATCTCACTATCAGCAAGGAGAAGCAGGAAGTGTAGTGCGTGCCCTTCAGGCCAGAGATTCTGGCCGCAGCCAGAGTGGACCCACAGGAGAGCAGCAGCAACCTCAGAAGAGAACCAGAGTCAGACTCGAGAGAGAGCTGAGCTGGGGCTGCTGCCCCACAGAGCCAACACAGGGCCTTCAGCCAGCTTGCTGGAGGGCTGAGGACCAAGAGGACTCAGATCAGTGCTGCAGGGAGCTTGGCGGCTTCATGGTAAGGAGCTGCGATGCAGTCCCACAGGGTGAGGCAACCAGCTGCTCTTAGGGAGAAGGAAGGGCCATCTCCTCCTGTATGATTCACTGCCTCTGAAAACCTACTGGAGGGTCAGCTGTGGGTTGGTTCCAACTCAAATGGCACATAACAACAAAAACAAGGGAACTTTGTGACACTCACCTAAGCTGTGAGGCCGAAGGTCTAAGAGGAGTGCAGGCACTCTAGAGAAACTCTCTGTACTGAAAACTGTGTCCTGCTGGCAACCTGAATTGTAACCAGGTAACTTCTCTAATACTCCCTGGAGCTCTGAGTTTGGCTCTTTGACACTTGTTTGGTCACTGCAAAAGATTCCAGACCCAGGAAAGCAGCAAGACTGGTACTGGAATTAGTAGAAATGGGTTCAGGAGCATGGGGGGACCATGCCTGATCTTAAAGGAATTGTGCTGTGTGTTGTTGAAGGGGACAGTGCCCCTTTGTGGAGTTAGCAGAGGCCAGACTTGGCCATTCCCATGACACACTCAATGTGTTACAGGGAAAGCTGTCATTCCTCAAAACGCTGTGACCAGCGTGGCAGAGCTGCAAAAGCCAGGGCTATACACAGGTGAGAGGACACAATGCCACTCTGAGTTCATCAAAACATAAAATGGCATGAAAATAGGCTTTCCTTAGACATCTATGTAAAACCTTGTGTTCAATGGACTACTGCTGATCCCTGCAGATCAGGAATCTGGATTCAGCAATCCAAAGCTGAGAGACAAAAACCATTGCCACAGCTGGTAAAGCTTTGTGCTGTCTGTGTACTTACCTGCTTTCAGCCAGGTAGCTTCAGAGAGGGTGGCAAGTGCTGAGGAAATCTGCCAAGAAAGGTGAAAGGAAGACTCACAATAGAACTAAAACAAGGATGTGCCCACTTGCAGTGTTTTCCTTGTGCCCATAATGTATTTACTCAGTTAAACTGCACTGGTGAGGAGACGGTGGCCAGGTTTTGATCTTTCTATAAAAGAAATCAAGTCACCCGAGTGATGATGATGTTTGAGCATCACTAATTGTCACCATTGGGCGGGGAGTGCAGCATTGGGTCAAAAGAGCAGAAGAAATAAAACACTGCAGAAAAATGATGACATTGTCTGCTGACAAAAATATCTGGCACCTCCCGGTGTGCCTTCTGTCTGCTTCCTTCATGCCCTTTAAAAGTGAGGCATTCTGGCCAAATGAAGCTGTCCTGACAAAGCAGAGACTCAGTCTTTCCTGTTCACAACGGTACTTCGATTGCCGTACAGCAGAGAGGAGGGGAAGCTCCCTCATTTAGTCAGACAGAAATTCTCCTGGAAGGTTCCCATTCTCCAGTTGCTGTTGAGTCAACGAGGACTCCCAGTGACCCTGTGAACAACAGATGTGGACTCTGTCCTCCTCTGCGCCACCCTCACCATCTCTAATATGCTCCAACCTGTTGTTCCAGTCACGGTGACAATCCCTGTCGTCGAAGGTCTTCCTCCCCTTCTGGGAACCTCCGCCTTTACCCTGCATGGTGTCTTTTTCCAAGGGCTGGTCCCTCCTGACAACATGTCCACAGTAAGTGAGCCACTTTCTCCACCCTGGCCTCTAAGGAGGACTCTGGTTGTACTTCCCCCAAGATAGTCTTGTTTGCTCTATGTTGATATGCCCTGGTAGTAATTTGTAAATAAGTGTGTGACCCAGCAGGTTCATGGTGTCTAGGACACTGAGTTAACACCAAGTGAGCTGCAGGAAAAGCCAATCCCGGACACAACGTCCTGTCTGTTTTCCAGGCCTTCACCTTTTTGGAAGCACACACCCAGGCCTTTCCTCCAAAGTGGACAGCTCCCCACCACCCCTGCCCAGCGTTTCCATCAGCAGCTGAGAGCAGAAATATTTCTCCTGGGCAGGATTCTCTCTAGGGTAAATCTGGCCCAGCCTCTGGCCTCAGCCCTGGCCCTTTGCAGCTCACCACAACCATCCAACCATCCGTCTCAGTGTCCTCTGGGATCCCATCTTCCAGAGAACATCCTTTGCATCTGTCAAGAGTCCTCCACCGCCAGGGCTGGGCCACTGGGAACACACTGCAGCTTTGTACTGAGTGCCTGGCAAGCGCCTCTGGCAGGTGCAGGTACAGGTGCTTGTTACACTTTAACTCCACGAGTCAAAGGACACCAAGGAAAAGGTTAGGGAAGTTGGGCGGCCTCGGGTAAAATGACTCCTGCAGAAGACCTAACCTGGTCACCAACGTGAAGCCAGACAGTTCTGATCTCTATGTATAAAACAGAGGGAAGCTGACTTGAGACCTGGTTGACTAAAACAGAACTGTAACCTTAATGGTAAACTGTGACATTAAGATAAAGTACCAACTTCTTGCCTTGACTTTTATCTATTATGTTTTCATAGCCTGGATTAGAGTATACTAAGGGTCACCAACTATCTGCGTTATGCGGATGACACAACCCTGCTTGCTGAAACTGAAGAGGACCTGAAGCGCCTGCTGCAGAGTGTCAAGGACTGCAGCCTTCAATATGGATTGAGGCTCAATGTCAAGAAGACAAAGATTCTCACCACTGGACCAACTGGCAGCATCAGGATGGATGGTGAAGAGATTGAGATTGTACACAGCTTTAGTTTGCTTGGCTCCATAGTCAACAGTCTTGGCACCAGCAGCCAGGAAATTAAAAGGCGCATTGCCATGGGAAAGTCTGCTGTTAGGGACCTCTCCAAAGTGCTGAAGAGCAGTGGTGTCTCTTTGGAGACTAAGGTGCGTCTGATACAGGCCATGGTCTTCGCAATCACTTGTTATGCATCAGAGAGTTGGACAATGACCAAGGAGGATAGAAGGAGAATTGATGCCTCTGAGCTGTGGTGCTGGAGAAGAGTATTGAGAATACCATCGACTGCTAGGAAAACAAACAGATTTGTCCTGGAAAGGGTTAAACCGGGTGGCTCCTTGGAGGCAAGGATTCTGAGGCTCCGTCTAACATACTTTGGACATGTTGTGAGGAGAGACCGGTCCTTGGAGAGGGACATCATGCTTGGGAGGGTGGAGGGACAGCGCAGGAGAGGAAGGCCCTCTATGAGGTGGATTGATTCAGTGACTAGGGTAATCGGGATGGGAGTGTCAGAGACAGTGCGATTGGCACAGGACAGAGCAGAGTTTAGGGCTGTTGTGCATAGGGTTGCTATGAGTCGCAAGCGATTCGAGGGCACATAACAACAACAACAAGGGTCACCAGTGACCGGGGTGATGGTGGTGGTGGGGAGTGTCTCCTCCTAGCCCCAACCCATCCGCGTCCAGACACTAGTCCCCAGGGGAGCCCCAGAGAGTGCAAGGAAGCAACACCGGGCGAGGCGGCTGGAGCATGGAAGGGGCAAAGGGGCACGGAGCGTCGGGTCGTCACCTTCCAGCTCCCGGCGGAGCGGGGCGCGCAGCGCGCCCGGGTCCCGAGCCCCGGCGCCGGGCAGGCAGCAGCCGTGTCCAGGACCCGCAGCTGTCAGGTTGTTTATCGGCGTAGTCATGGAGACGGCGCGGGGCGTTGTGGGAAGTCGGAGTCGTAGACCTGTCCCGGGGCGGAAGTGGCGGCAGGCAGAGTGGGTGGGAGAAGAGGGGCCGACTTGCTAAGCCCACGCGCCCCTTTGGGGCGTCCGGCAGCCCTTTGGGGCGACCGGCCCGCCAGCCCAAGTTTGCCTCCCCGGCGCTTCCCCCACCTTCTATGACGTCATGCGCACACTTCCGGTCCGGGCCAGTGGTGGGCGGGCCCTCGGCTTCCGGCCGCGGCTGTGCTTCCGGCCGCTCTGCCTCCGGCGCCGTGCGGGGCTGGTCACGTGTCCTCGGCGTGGCGGCGCTGCGTCTGCGCGTGCGCGGTTTGCTTGCGCGCTACCTCCCCAGGCTGCTGTCCACGTGCAGTGCCCCTCCGTGCGCGGGAGCGGAGGGTGGACGAGGAGGGCAGGCGGGTCACCGCCACGACGAACGCGTAAAGCAGCCGGGCCCACACGGGGTCAGCCGAGTTGGACAGGGCACTGGCACTCTGGTGAAGCGAGGTGAGTGCCAAGTGTGGCCGGGTGGCAGCAACTCCAGGGAAGTGAAGGAGCCCTGGACACCTGGCTACCATTGCAGCTGCCCTGCAACCCCACAGGCACGCGGTTCGAATCCACCAGCTGCTCCGCGAGGCAAGGCTGGGCATTCTCCCCCCCATGTGATTTTACTGCTACTGAAAACCCACTGGAGGGTTAACTGTGGGTCGGTTCCGACTCAATGGTACATAACAACAGCTTTAAAACAAAATGAATGCAAAAGATTGCAGACAGGTGTCATGGTTTTTAAGAAAGACAATCGATGTTGTGCTTCTCGAAGCCCGGGACAGTGCTAGAGTTGGCTCGCAGTACGTAGTTCTACTAGCAAGTTTCAGTCTTCATTCTGTCTTTGCAACGACTTTTTGCTTCATGGTGATAGCCTTGATGTCATCCCACAACTCATCCTGTCTTCAGTCATTACTGTTCAATGCATCACATCTATTCTTGAGATGGTTTTTAAATTCAAAAGGTGTAGATTGTTGGTTCTTGTGGACTTTTCGGTTTTTTCACTTAAGCATAGAAAGTTATGCTACCAAGCCAAAGGTGGGTGATTTTAATCCGTGGCCCTCAAACCTGGTTTTAACTGGTTTCAGTCAAACGTTCTTCTAAACAGTATAGCACTGGTCTGTCCATTTGCTGTACAGATGTAGCTCCTAGTTGCTGTGATACTAAACACTGTGGCACTGATGCATTAAATGTGGTAATGGTCACCCATGGTGGACAGTGTTTGGTGGAGCTTCCCGATTAAAAGAAGCTTGGAAGCAGCAGTGGCATCCACTTCTAAGATAGCTTGCCTCTGGAAACCGTATGGACTTAGAAAAATGATGAAAGTTATACAAGTGTTTAGGTCTTTTGTTCATAGGGTCGCTATGAATCATCTACCACTTGACTTAATAACAACAATTATTGATGATCTGTTCCACAGTCAGCACCTGGACTGCTTTAGATTAGATACCAGCGATTTTTTCCACTGATATAGTCAGTCTGCTTCCTCTGTAAATCCAACAGGTGAATTCCATGTATATGGTCATTGTTTGTTTTTTAAAAATGATGTTTGCAGTGAATCAATTACCGATTGCATAAAATTTTGTCATTCAGTCTCCAGACTTATTTCTGTCACTAAGCGTTTTCCGACTACCAGCTCCTTTTGTCTCCATCTTTTGCATTCCAATAACCAGTTGTAGAGAACAGCATTAAGAAAAAGTTTCTCTCCACTGGACCAGAAGCAACATTGTGATGGAGGCCAGCTTGAAATTGGATCCCTATAATCATCACCTGTGACAGCAGCAGTCAAGAAAGCAAAACGCTGTTTTGCACTGGGAAAATCAGTCGTCAGGGACCTCTCCAAAATGATGAAGAGCCGTAGTATTTTTTTCTTCGCTTTCAGTGCATCTGAAAGTTGGACAGTGAGTAAGGATGACTGAAGAAGAATCAATGCGCTTGAATTAGGATGTTGGAGATTATTGAAGATCCCATGGGCCGTCGAAAGAACACATCTGTCTAGGTAGTAGACAGGCTAGGTAGGCTGTAGTACTCTACACCCAGAGTGCTGCAAAGATGCTGAAACTTTGTGTTTCTTACTTTGGGCATGTTATGGAGGGGAGGGGGTCAGGAAGAAAGTAGAACCCTCAGTGAAACAGATTGACAGTGATTTTAACAGTAGGCTCCAGCACACCAAAGATGGTGAGGATAGACAGGGTTCAGATCTGTGAGTCGTAGTCGACTCAATGGCACCTAGCAACAACAGGGATGATGTACGGGAGGATGTGGCTTGTTTGCATGTGAATACTATGACCTTTTGTTCCAGTCACCCAGCAACAGCCAAGGGACTAGGGAGCTCCGGGATACTGATGCTGTGAGCAACTCACCGAGTGGTTTTAGAGTTCGTGCCCTCGGCTGCTGACCAGGAGCGTGGCAGGGTTGGATGTTGTAGTGCCCCCAGGATCCACCACTGAAAGAGCGACTGTGGGACCCAGTTCTCTGCCATGCTCAAGGTCACGCAGGGTCACAAGAGGCTCCAGGGCACCTGGTTACCTGGTGGATTTGTGAGTCAGGTTAGACAGGTGTGGCAGGTATCTCTGAATAGTCAGCCTGGAGAGCTGAGTGCTTCCAGCTGTGAAATAGCCGGGATCCCATCCACCCACAAGCTTTGTGAACAGAGGGGCCCAGAAACCCAAGGTCTGAGGTTCCCAGACTGATTTCCAGCAGCAGTGTCAGGAACTGATGGCCTCACACACTTTTGCTACTTCGAACCTGTGCTTTCTGATTTAATTGTGAGATTGATAAGGATGGTATCTTTGCAGTCTCAGACTCAGTGCATTATTAGCGTTGCCAGGATCAATCAATGCCTGGGACACAGAATCAATCTACTAGGCATGGCCTTTAACTTGTTTACAGTGTTCAGCCTCCTTCCTATAAGGTTCAAACTCCTTGAAAGTCTTGGGCTTCTAATTTAAGACAGAGAAAACAGGTAAGTGAAAAGCTGGTTTCACCTGAGGGCGTAGGTGAGAATTTGGAGCCGCTCCCACCCCGAGGGAGCTCTGGTGCGCTGGGCTCTAGTTGAGCTGAGGCGATGACTCAGAAGGCAGCCCCACTCTGTTGGTCTGAATCCACCAGTTACCCCGAGGAAGAAAGGTGAAGAGTCTCCTCGCATGCATTTTCCAGCCTCTGAAAACCCAGCAGAATGAGCTGTGAGTTGGAGTCTGAGTGATGAGCAACTCCACATTCTAGCATGATCTGGGAGCACTTCATGGCTGGACTTCAAACTGACTCCGTCACAGCCAGTGAGGCCAAACTGGAACAGCCCGGGGGGTGGGGGGGGTTAGATGTGAGAGAAGGGGCTGGGGTCACCAGAGGCCTCAGGAGCCTAATGCCTGGCCTGGGGCACAGCCGAGACTCAGTCAGCTGTCCACTTCCAGCTGGGCTGGGATTCTGCAAGCAGGAGGTTTGGGTAGTGGGCAGGGCATATGCTGCCTGGTTTCCCCATTCACCTAAATGCTTAGAATCCTGGTTCACTGCCTAAGCCAGGACTGATCCCACAAGAATGGATTGAAAGCCCCGTTCTTGGTGTTTCCTGTCGGTTTGATGGTGCTAACTGTGGCCTCGGCCAGCAGTGCTTTACATGTATGGTATTTCTTCCCCAGACAGCCATGGGCATCCGGGGGCTGATGAGCTTTGTGGAGGACCACCGCAAGGAGCTGCTGAGGGACGTGAAGCTGCGGGACACGCGCCTGGTCATCGACGGCTACGCACTCTTCCACTGGCTCAGCTTCCACTCCGACCTGGAGCTGCGATACGGGGGGGACTACGACTCCTTCGCTGATGTCGCCCGAGAGTTTTTTGAGACGCTGTCCGCCTGTGGCATATGCCCCTACGTCGTGCTGGACGGCGGCTGTGACATTTCCGATAAGAAGCTTTGCACCCTGAAGGACCGTGCCCGCGAGCGCATCCTGGCGGCCCGTGCCCTGAGCCTGGGGGGCACCGGCCGCGTGTGCCCCCTGCTCACGCGGGAGGCCTTCCTGCAGGTGCTGACCGAGCAGCAGGTGGGGTTCGTGCAGAGCTTCTCAGAAGCCGACCAGGACATTGTGACCCTCGCCAATCACTGGAGCTGTCCGGTGCTGTCCTCGGACAGCGACTTCTGCATTTTTGACCTGAAAGCCGGCTTCTGCCTGCTGAGCGGCTTTCAGTGGAGGAACATTAGCACCGTCCGAGGCACCCAGAGCTGCTTCATCCCTGCCGCCTGCTTCTCCGTGGACACGCTATGTCAGCACTTCAATGGCATGACCAAGGCCCTGCTGCCCCTGTTTGCTGTGCTGTGTGGCAACGACTATGGCAGCCTGTCTGCCGGGGACAGCATCTTGGCGAAGATCCGCCCACCCCCAGGCGCAGCCAGCCCCTCGGGGAGGCAGCACCGGCGGGTGCTGGGCCTCCTGAGTTGGCTGTCCAGCTTTCCTGGCCCTGCTGAGGCCGTCGACAGGGCCCTGCAGCTCCTGCCGCGGTGCGACCGGGAACGCGTCCGGGAGGGCCTGTCCTCCGCCGTGAGGGATTACCAGCCATCCCAGGCCAGGCCGCAGGACTTGCTCCAGCGGAAGGCTCACGTCTGTCCTGATGCCATGCACACCAGCTTGCCAGGGTGGGTGCGCTTGTCCCTGGCCAGAGGCCAGCTGTCACCCTTCATCAGTGATGCTTTGGTACTGAGAAGGACCATCCTGCACACGCAGGTGGAGGACTTGCAGCGCCCGAGTGCCCACCGGGCCTCACTGCCCCTGCGGCAGGCCATCTATGGGCTGCTGTGGGGCGCTATCCACCCGCAGGGGACGGCGTCACCTCCCACCCTTGGTGAGGTGGAGCGGGTCAGCAGAACCATCAGGACAGCCACTGTCCACGCCACAGAGCTGCCTGGGGGTGGTGCCCATTTAAGCACACTCCCCGAGGTGAGGACAGATAGTGGAATCGTGCTAGGGCAGCTCACAGGTTCCAGTACATTCACGAGGTGGGGGTGGACACTTGGAATCTTGATTGGGCAGCTCAGAGGTCCAAGTGCACTGGCCGAGAGTGGACACGTGGAATCTTGGGAGGGCAGTTCAGAGGTTCAGGTACATTCACTGAGGTGAGGGTGGACAACGTGGCATTTCTGTTGGGCAGCTCACAGGTTCAGGTGCACTGGCTGAGGTGAGGTGAGGGTAGACGCGTGATATCTTGGTGGATTCACCAGGGTCGCTCACAGATTGCAGGGTGCTATTGGTTGAGTGTCTCAGGACAGTCCTGCGGACAGCCCTGCCCCGTGGGGAAGCTGCATCTGGCCTTTCCTCCTCGGGACCAGCTGGTGGCCTTCCGTCGGGAGCTGAGTGCTTTACCAGCTACACCACCAGGCCTCCCATCCTTTTACCTGGCTTGTCACGCACACGCAGTCCTGCCTCCCTAGCTAACCGGTCACTGGTGTGTCCTTCTAGCTCCCTGTAGACCAACGAGAGACACTCCTGCTGGAAGCCCTGCAGGTGAACCGGTCCATCCTGGATGCAGTCCCACCTGCGCTGAGGCTGCCGGTTGCTGTGAGCTGTTTCTGGGTGCAGCAGGTGGAGGTCAGGGTGACGCTGGTCCAGGCCCAGGCCTTGCTGATGGGGATGCTCATGGGACCTCTACACATCATGGTTGACAGCAAAGGTACCACTGGTGGGGACCTCTGGTGGAGGCGGCCCTGGCAGGTAGCCACAGTGCCCAGGTCTGTAGCTGTGGAGGCTGCGCACACGCTCTTCAGCTCAGAGAAGGGTGAGGGCTCCCCGCTGTCGTTCATGTCAGGCTGCAGAGAAGTGCAGTACTTGGGAAGGGCCCTACTTGGGAAGTGTCCTCGGCTCACGGTGTCTGCACCTGGCCAGGCTCGGTGTCCTCAGCAGGACCGTGGGTACGGCGGCTGGCACCTCCTGCTCTGCCCTCCGAGGTACGGGATGAGGGCACTGGCCGCATTCTGTCCTCCACATCGTGTGACATATGTACAGCTCAGTGGCCTCTAGAAGACACTCCTCTATTCCTGCAGCCACGGTAGCAGCTCTGCTTGTGTGGTTTCCTTTTAACCTTTTTGCCCCTATTCTCCCACTGAAAATTCCAAATAGTGTGCAAGTAGTAATGTAAGAAATTGCAGCTTCTCAGGGAGTTCTGGTGGTCTAGTGCAATCCCAGAGGTTGTTGTTGTTGTTGTTATGTGCTGTCGAGTCATTTCCGACTCATAGCGACCCTATGCACAACAGCCCTAAACCCTGCTCTATCCTGCGCCAACTGCACTGGCTCTGACACACCCATCCCGATTACCCCAGTC